AAATAGGTCTCAGTATATTTCTAAGATAAAACTGTTTTATTTTCAAAATTATACAGTTTAGTTCAACCAACATATAATTTACCTTAGAATTTTTTAAAACATTATTATACATATATTTTAATACAGCGAAATTATGTTATAATCTCGTTTCGTACATTATATATAATAAAGAATGTATTACTTTATAATACAATTCGCATTTTACATTATAATATACAAATTATTTATCCTCTTAGAATAGTTTGTTATTTACTAGCTGGTACTGAGCTTTAGCTGTTGCATAATTTATAACGTCGCAAAACCCAGGGGTTTCAAATCACATCTCAGTCCTATAATTTTCATTTAAATCCGTAACAACCAAACAAACTCTCTGTCGTATCTTTGTAGAATATTTTTAAGGATGTTATTTATGGAATATAAAATAAATAAACAAATATTTACTTCACTATTACAATTGCACTACAGTTATGTATTAAAGTGGCTTGTAATTTATTGAATTCAATACTCAATTCAAAACATATTACATAATCTTAATTATCTACTTGTCTACATGTAACATGATATGCAATCACATTTGCTGAACAAATATTTAAATAAACATTAATTAGTATAAAAGTAAGAGTAATAAACATTTAAACCAGTGATAACGAATATTTTTTTTAAGATACTAGTTGTTCATACAGACACTCGCAACCTAACCATGTTTCTTATTGTTGCAAAATCTCGAAACAACGCCATTTATCAGGATAAAAACTATTCTATCTTTGAAGCTGGAAAAAATAATATACTAATACACTTCATTAAAATTATCATTATCGCAAACGAACATCGTAATTCGGGATTTTTATATATTAAGATATTATTAGGTAGGTTTGGCTTGAAAATCTTATAAACAACGATAACAGGAAAGTAAAATAAACAGAATAGTAACCGCGGGCCGTAAGCTAGTTAACATTGTAAGGCTCGTCCGAAAGTCGGCCGTACCTCATCAACAAAATTGAGCGCCACCCTCGCCACTTATGGGACTGACTTGCCCCTCTACGCTGATTCGCAAATTAAATGCAATTACTGTGTTAACTTTCCACTTTATGAATACTTAGGCACTTGGAGTACGTAATACAATTGGGAAACATTTGGACTGCCCTATCAGCTACGAATTGCTTGGCTTTGCGACTATTGAATTTCTTCTTGGTCATATGATTTGTATCTTTTTTTCATATGTGATTTTTCTGAAAGTCGTGTTAAATGAAACAATAATTTTAAAAGAAAATATAAAGTTTTCATTTTTCTGCTTCGTTGTTGTTAAATGACTGAAACTTTTTTTTTCACTATTGAAAGACCCCGCAATTTATCACATGTTACCTGATACAGCGCTTTCTGCACCCCAGCTCGCGGGCCTGAGAATAGCCTATTCACATGTGCCTTAAATTGGTGCAGATTATATTTGGATGGAAAAACATAAGTAGGGAGAGAGATCCACTCCTAATAATTGTAAGCGAAGTATAAATTACGATCTTTAAGAGTACGCCTTTTTACGAGTATATACAATACATATACTAGCTAGTTATATAAAGCAAATCCAAATTTTAACTGTTAACAAGCAAACAAGTTTTTTTACTTTCTTTAAGTAGCTGGATTTATTTTGGTATCGTGTATTATAAAAAATATGTTTTCCTTACATGATATCCGAGAATTCGTTCACGTAAATGTCTAGTGATATAAAGTTTTTTATCTATATATATATCATAAATACGGTTTATTTATTTAAAACATTTAGAGAGGTAATTTGATAATCTCACAACAAATCCGAATTACTAACGTAATCGCTGGAACGTTACAATTAGACTGACTTTCAGAATAATATTATATAAGTTAGTATCGAAAAATAATTAGTAAAGATACGTTAAATAACTAAGTTGCTTATAGTTTCTAATTTAAAAGACCTGTTACAGCAAGATGGTTATTAGGTACAGTAGTAGGTTAAAAAGACAGATAAATAGAGCGTGACAGTATAATGATATATATCAAATAGAGCCAACCCTCGAAGTGTTCTAGCAAAAAATATGGCGAAAGAAAACTAATTCTCGCAGTCGTCAAACATTTCATGAACAAGCGTAGCTCCGTCGGGTGGGCTCAAGAGGAAACCGATTTTTAACTGAACAGGAGCAAAAAGTCTCATGACACAGTCGGGGGGAAAACTGCGGGACAAACACATTGGACTCTTTTCGAACGGTGGCTCGAGACGGCTACGGCCATCACTCTTATCGTTTATTACGTTGAGTAAGAACGTCTTGATAAAATTAGATATAAAAATCTATGTAACTTCTTAAGTTGTAGACGGTAAATAATATATGTATAAAGAACTAATAAAAAGATATTGACATTTTGATTAACTAACGTGACGTAAAACTACTAATAACTATGTTAAAAAAATATGAATTACAAAAGACCGAAAATATATTTGACAATGATTTGAAAAACTAAGCATTAATTTAACGGTGATTACAACCCTTACTTTTCGAAAAACAAACGAACAAAAATTTTTCCAATGCCAAAGGTTATTTATATCGCCTATAGACATGTGCAGTACCATGGACATAACAGAGTATACTGTTTCGCCCATGATAACATCTGAGGAATGGCAAAGCATCCACTATGCTTTATTATTCTATTTCTGAGGACTCAGGTAATAACACCTGAGTCCTCTGTAGCCTGTGAATTCATTGCCATATCCCATCTTTCAAACCGAAACACAACTGCTTCACAGTTGAAACACAAATAGGACAGAGGTACCCAAGCAAACAACTTTTGTACAAAGTCTCCCTCTTGTTAATCTTATTTATTTATGTTACATAACAGCAATGATATAACAATAAAAGTTAATACAAAACAACAAATCAGAAAAGAATAAACAACAGCGTTATCGATTTGTATATAAAGTCACTGACGTTAATGGAGTGTTTTAGAGCAAAATATCTAAAATTATCTAAATTAACCTCACTGACTATAATATATGGGGCCATGTTTTCCGTATCAGATAGGATCCTCCCCAATCCTTTTGCACAGGCAGTACATCAATTCGTCCGCATATTAGCTGTCAACGAGCACGAGCGATCGTCTCGCAACCGAAAAGGAAAAATAAACAAAGGGACCGAATATACGACGGTTACGGCTTCGTAATAAACATCTACGAAATGAACCTGGCAAATAAATTACATAGGTCACTTTTAATTTAAGTCAATTTAAGGCGAAATATTTTAGTTACTTCAGCAACAACATAATAGTATAGTGAAGATATAGTATATTATTGTGCTCTTATTTTTTTTATTCTTAACTTAGGCAGATAGAAAATATGAGAAATGATAACAACGAATAAAATGCTAAACACAAAAGATTTTGTTTTATAGCTTTATATCATTTGGAAAATTCTATTATATGGTTTCATAAAGTAGAGAAATAGACGTTTCCAAGAAACATGACCTTCCAATTTAATGGATATTTATTTGGAATTGTTCACAATAATTAGAGATTATTGTTACTGAAATAAATGTATTAGTAAGTAGAAATTTAACAGATATGATAATAAATGATAAATAAGATTTTTTTTCTGTTGTTTCACTTCATTAATTCGATAATAATTTCAAATGTGGTTGACTTTAGTGTTGCCAGCGGAGCGTTAAAATCACTTGCGCTTTCTTCTTATTAATGACTACTGAATTATTCATCACGAAATAGACGATTTTTCTTTTTGTGATACTAATCTGACTGTTAATTGAATCGAGAAAAAAAATGTCGGTAAAATTAGTCCGTTAAATTGTGATAGTGTTGTCTGTAGAAATTGAAAGTAGTTATATGCAGTTATAATTTAGTTTAATATACGAAGAATATGTAATATGCCACTTGTAAAGTGTATTTATCACTATGGCAACAGACGACATCGTCTTTGGATTTCGATTACTTCAACTTTAACTACAGACAGATATACGGATTTTTTTTATAATATTATATATCATTTAACGACCAACGAATGTAATATTAGTGGAGTAGTAATGCGTACAATGACTATGACCTAATACATGTAATTGAATCAGTTGCCAATTGCTTTTAATACAAACTCTGCTTAGAGTGATTTGTCTACTTGTTTCTATATTTTTAATTATATCAATGAAAAACTAATAAATGCTTCAATTCTATTATAATATTAATTTTCATTATATACCCTAGCGTAAAGGTAGGTAAAGAGGTGTCTTCAGGGTCGGCAACGCACGCGTAGTACCTCTGGTATTGCAGGTGTTCATAGGCTATGGTAACCACTTACCATCAAGTGGGCCATATGCTTGTTTGCCACCTCAGTGGTATAAAAATATCTACATAATGGCCCAATAATGAATATATAAATATTGATTATACAAATTATAATATCAAAATGAAACATCCGATGGTGCCTATCCTATTCGTATTTCTGCCATGAAGCATTTGTATGATTACTTAAGTTTAAATGATGAGATATGGAAGTAAAATTACAAGGTATGGAGGCATAACCTTAGTTTTTAGAAATGACATCGCATGAGGCGTACCATGGGTATTATAAACTCTATGATATGATTCCTAAAGTTGGTTCCGCAGAAATTAGAGGTTCCGTAGAAAAGTCACGAGGGTTCCGCGAAATCTATAAGAGTGAAACTATTTCATTCTTCATATTGAAAGTTAAAGTAAAGAATAAAAAGTCTCACTTTTCAAATATTTCTTATAAAATTTTTGTTCTTATTTAAGTGTTTTTTATTGTAATCATTTGATATGGGTTTCCATAAAAGTTATTTGATGAATGTTCCGTTATCTTAAGAGTTTAGGAACTCCTTTATGACATAGACTATTATGTCCATGGTGCTGTTCATGTTTATATATGATCGTCACCACTTTCTGTCAGGTGGATGGTCAACTTGGTTGCAATTCTATGTTCCCTAAAGAAAAACAGGTATTGCAGAAATCAGCGATCTTACCGTATACGGTTGGCGACAAGCAGCTCAGCGATGTCGCGTCCAAGTTTTGAGTAGGCCGACTCCACGATGACCAGCACTTTGGCGTCGATGCGCAGGCGCGCGTCCGAACGGTGGTCGCGCGCTGCCTGCTGTTGTTGCGAGGCCAGCAGTGAGCATTGTGCCAGAGGCCGCGGCACACGATCACGCCACACCAGACTATAATATTGTTAGTGTTAATATTGCAAAGTCACAGTATTAACCAAATATGCGAGTATGCAAGAAAATGTATATGTACAGACAGCAATGTATAATGAGACTGACAGATAAACTAAAAAAGCGAGTTTTTGTTTTTTACTGTCGCTGTTTTATGTTTGTAGCGTGAGTTTCTATAGATATCCTAAATAATATATATATATATATATATATATATATATATATATATATATATATATATATATATATATATATATATATATATATATATATATATATATATATATATATATATATATAGCCTATGCCCCTATTCATTCTATATGGTACGTGTATACAAAATTTCATGTGAACGGTTGAGCCGTTAACATGACAACACGACACTAAGGGGTAACAAACAAAGTAACATTCACATTTATAATTTTAGTAATCTTAACTAGCATTAACGATAATAGTAAGAATTAATAGGATTCGTAATTGATAAATCTTCACAAATACGTGTGTAGGGATATTTATTCGTATTAATATAGATAAAATAATGGACGTAGATAAAGCAAGGAATTTATATAAAGTCTTTGGAACACAGTCGTTATCTCAATCTACCACGTAAAGCATTGGCGTGTAAATAGAATCATTGTAGAAGAATTATGCACCTGAACCCATTTAGAAGAATCCGTTTTCTAAATTGGCCGGACCGCAAGTATTACAGGGACCTCGTTACACGCAGCAAAATGATGACTATGCTATCAAACGCTGCGCTATGGAGGTCATCAAAATAATAGGTCTTCTCTTTATAGTGATGAAAAATACCGTGCAAGAAACCTGCTATTGGGAATTGTAGAGAATTGTCAATGGTGCAAAATAATGTGTCTTTGCATTAGTAATACAGATAGCAGATAGTCTAGTTGATGAAGTATTTAGTGTGATAATATCTTAGATGGCAATATGTATAGTTTTCTTATTCATAGCTCATGCTGTAATCACAAATAAACTTAGTAAAAATATTAAAAAGGTGATTTAAATAGAAAACACTATATTTTTAGATGGCGGGTATAAATAACTTAATTTCAATAATGAAAATGATGGTTTATACGTTCAGAAATCTGTTTATGGAAAAGCCAAGAAAGACAGAGTTCAAGATAAACATAAAACATGTAAGCAGTCAACATTTTATCACCATTATCAATCCAAATAATCTTCCCTTTATTACAATAGATAGACTTAAATATAAAAATACATTTTAATAATAATAAAAGACTTTAAGGTCAACATTAATCAATCAGGTAAATAATTAAAATTTAATGTGTATTGGCTACTAAGTTATTTACCGTAGCAAAATTCAGAAGAAAATCAATCAAAGACTGCCAAAGTTGAGGCTGCGTTCCAAGTTGGAGCCACATCAAAGAGCCATTAAGGTTTATCTCTATAGCGTAAAATAAATAAAGGCGGAATTTGTGAAAATATTTATCCGTAGGCGTCTGAAGTCCTGTGAGCCACGGCGGAGACTTGTGGCCTCTCTGCTCTAATGAAAGCGATGCCCGAGCCAACAGACTGGAAACATCAATGGCAGGAATATGAACCTAAGTAATATTTACATTAAAAATATTATTAGATTGCATATTATTATTCCAGCTGGAATGAACTCGGTAAATTCCAATTTGGATCATTTAAAAATTTAATAAGTATGACCTGCTTCGTTCTTCGGAGGGTATGTAAACTCGTCGCTTGTTAAGTCACATCAGAGATCTTCATGTATAAAGGAATGCATAATACATTAGAAATAACGGGTTGTTATTCCTGTAGTTGTAACTTAATGTGTGTACAAGCGTCAAGAAAAATAAATTTTAAGAAACAATCTTTGTGCCTAAATTAGTTTAGTACATTTTATGAAACTTATTAAAATTTATAAGCATTTGGATGATGTTTCGAACGTCCCCAATTATAAAACAATTATAATACATTTAAATTAATAATTTTCTTAGAAAATGCAAATGTTCAAAATACATATCCGAAAACATTTTAATAAAAGTACAGACTTATACTTCAGTACAAACTGCTTTTTTTACTTTTTACGATGTCTTCGTAGAAGTACGGAATCGATACTGCAGATAATAGACTGTGGATTAGTAGGCGAATAAACCTATTAGTTAAGGGTATACGATAATAAAACAATACACCATTAAATCAAGGAGTTTTCTACGCGTTCACGAAGCAGCTTCCATTAATTAGCCCGAACACAAGTTTTGCTATAAATTCAACTGAGTCGGCAAAACTTGCCGCCCCTGCCGCTCATCTTGGTGGCGTAATTTTAAGCCGATAAAATAAAATATTATCGTTCTAGCTACACGACATCCGCCGTAATTACAGTAAATCACGTTATAAATTACTGTGAAAGATTCGCTTTTTCGCCATAAAAAGTTGCCAACAAAGAAAATAGAAAACATTGCAAATAAATTTCCCGAAGTAAATTTAGTGTTAAAGTTCATATTTACTCTTTATTATAAAGCAATAAAAAGAAGTCGTTTATTTTATCTCGGGTTTGGTTAACAAGTCAATAAGCTACGGAATTGACTCCATTCTTGACTTTTTAAGGACTTATAACATACATAAGATCTGTAATATTGTATAATGCCAGTTACGTCTCAATAAGATAATTGAGATTTCTACGTATACGTAACATAATAAGTAGACATTTTCACTTTTCCGAACGTTTGAACTTCAACTGTTTGTAGACGGAATGCTACCAACGTTACAACTTAAAATAACGTATTTGGATATAAGCTGTTATTAGTCAAATAGTATTAAAAAAAAACACTACAATTATTAAAAAAAAAATTACGCACACATGCCACACGTTCAAAAAACGGAATAAGATAAAATACAATAACAAAACAAATTGCTTCTGATCGTAATTTGATATGTAAATTCTTGTTTTTTATTTGTAACAAATATGAATTTCTAATTGAAAACAATACACAATTAAGAAATTCCACGTATTTTGGTAATTATTTTTTACTTTGCGAACGATTTACGTCATTCTTCTAGACACAATTTAAAACGAAGTTGTTCATGAAGTAGAGAGTGTAGAGTATTAAGCAAAGTATAAATATGTACATGTTTAGAATTATTTATACGTATGATTATAGTAATAAGGATTATAGATTTATTTCTCTTCACAGAAGTAAAAACAGAATATTGATATAAGTTAAGAATAACTTAAAGCGTTATGAACTAAAATATCAGAGGTTAATTAATAAATAACAAAGAGAATATTTTATCTGTTTGTAAACAAGGTCAGATTATAAATTCAATAAACATAATGCAAATAATATATATAGGTATGAAAACACACCTTTTATTACAGATTACAAGAAAAAAATATGTGGTTGTGGGCGATGTTTTAAATAATTTTTAAAGTTTTCTATGTGTTAGAAAATATACTGGTTTAGAGTATAAATGGGCAATAGGGGGCGAAATGTCTGGCGAAAGGTCATTCTTCACTCCTCCGTGGGTATCGTAAGAAGCGTAATCATAAGGGAATTTAATAATTGAAGGATAGGCAATATCGTCGACCTTAAAACAATACCAAAGCCTAATTACGGTTGCCAACCGTGGCAACTACTGGTAACCCTGGTATATCTAAGTGAGTATTAATCTATGTGATCATCTAAAATATTAATACAAGATATATTTTAACATTGTGCTGATACTAATGAATAAAATGAATATGCTCTAACCGATAGGAACTATTTCACATTATTTTTTTGCATTCGCGACGTAGGTATTTGTTACAAATCGTTATGATAGCAAGTAAATTTAATTATATGCGAATGATGCATATTTTCTATTAGTGTAGCTAAATTTGAATATATTCCATTATTACTTTATAACATATGGATATATTTTTTATTATATATACTGTATTAACTGATATTATAAATGTGATTATTGTAATTGTTTTTGTTACCTCTTGGGGCGTTACCTAGTATCATGAAATTATATATATATATATATATATATTACTAGTGATACTTGACCTAGTCTAATGTGAATAGCTGTCATAGATGAACAATATAAATAGGATTAATACAAATATACAAAAAATAATACAAAGTAAACTTACCTCGTGAATGGTACTGTAACGTAATAAGAATAGAATAAACTGGTGAGGACGGATAACAACATGATGCCAAAGACGCATTTCTTCAAGTTGACGTGGCTGGCCAGCCAAAAACAGCACCGTGGAGCCGTCGCCTTGTGTGCGTGGGCGTATTCACCACCGCACTCGAGCAGCGGTGTACGCAAGCCTCGAACCTCCCCCGTCATCCTTAACATTTACACTCCACTATATTTACACAAAACAGTAACACTTAGGCCTCTAATTATATCACGGTGCACTGTCTCTATCTGGGCACCCTAACTGCTACGTTTGTCCTTGGTTGTGACGTTTTCTTTCGCCACTTGCTATGTTTCCACATTTCATAGTGCTGGGGGGCATGAGGGCGCGCGTGCGCAGGGTGGCCTAGTGCGTGGGCGCCGCGGTTGACGGCCATCTCGAGCCGACAAACGCGTTCGTCTCCGGTTTAAAATGGCCGCCGACGCATTATGGCGGGTTGTGCTCATCACGGCGACGGCGTGCGCTCTCGGTGCTAGAGCTCACGGCATCCGTATAAACGGTATCAGAGCACCGGGAATGGCGCTCATCTGTATTTTCTGCAACAAGAGATTTTTTTATAAACAAACTTATTAAGAAATACGTAATTCGTATCGTACAATGAATTGTAAAAAACACTCGTTATACAGGTAAACTTTTTAATTCAACTGATTTAAAAATGTTAGGACACTTGATACGACACGACGAACTTATGAACATTATAATAGAAGGTAAGATAGAAGGAAGAAGGGGGAGAGGGAGACCGAGACATAGTTACATCAGGCAGATCAAGGAAGGAGTTGGTGTCGTGTCGTATCAAGAGGTGAAGAGACTCGCTGAAAATCGTAGTGAGTGGCAAGAGCTCCACCGACAAGAGCGCAGCTCTTAAATGGATAGATAGATTCAGTATAAACCGATTAAAAAAAGTGATTTGCCAAAATTAGCTTGAGTGTAAATAGAATCGTTGAATAATTTACGAGTATATAGCAATGAATTTTTTTCATAAACTAAACTGTGTTTATAAATATAAGCCTGTTATGCTGGCTCGAAACAATTTGTATGAATAAAATATTTTGAAGCGTATTGAAAAAAAATTACAATATAATACATTTTTTCATGCTATTATGATGGCCAACAAGCATACGATCCATCTGATGGTAAAGGGGATTACAGTAGCCTATGGACACCTGTAACATCAGGGATGTCGTGCGTGCCTTGCTGACCCTTAAGAAACCTTAATACGCTCTTTTTGAAGAAGCCCATGCTATCTTAAGGAAAATCGTCTTAGCAGGTAGATCATTCTACAAACTTTGTGTAAACCGCGGGAGGGAGTTCCTCTGAACCGAAAAATATTAGGAACAAGTTGCTGTTTTCTTTTTTAAACTACAGATATAATATTTTAAAAAGTTCCAAAAATACATATACCTTTTTATTATGTTTACAGACTTATATTACATTTTTAATCAACTTCTAAATTGTTAAAGAAATGAGACCTTATTTTAAATTCATATATTCCCACTGTGGATTCATAGTAGTTATCCTCTAAGGTTCATTGCTCATTGTCAATGGCAGTGTGCCATTGTAAATCCTATCTCTGTGTGACAGGATTATCCCAATCTCGTCCAGTTATTAGATCACTTAATGAAAACGGTATACTGAGATGGCTAATGCCAATGCCAAATAATGGTTAATACCAGCGGAATTATTTACCCGACCGTTTAGCTTCCAATGGTGGACTTGCTGTGTTACCTTATAAAATAGATAAGTCTATTGATGCAGTCATATCGATTAAAATTATGTGCATTTTTTTCTATAAATTTAGGATACATTATATTAAAATTTTAATTTTGCTACTATACATTCAGTAATCAATTCCAAATAAAATGATTAATTTTAAGAAGAAATAAGAAATTAATTTTAACCATTAAAAAGCAAAATTTTAATTTTGCTACTATACATTCAGTAATCAATTTCAAATAAAATGATAAAGTAATTTTAAAAAGAAATAAGAAACTAATTTTAACCATCAAAAAGCAGATATTTATATCCATTTATCGTCGGTAATATCTTTACAGTACGATTTACAAATTTCAACTGCTTAGTATAATTATATTAGTAAATAATTTTAACAAAATAGCATAATATTAAAATATATATCTATAAATTTATCTTTGGAGATCTTTGAGTCCGTTGAGTCGTAAATACTTCGGTCGGCCGCTCCTACAAATCCGACCTTCGCGTTATTTGAATGAAGGCTTACATTGAAACACTTCTTTGCAGCCCCGAAACAAATCCATTCAACTGTGAAATTGGAAGAGCGATCCTCAAAATTCTGAATTAAATTTGATCAAAAAGTTAAGTAATGAATGTGAAATCCGATTTGGGAGGGACAATGAAACGTTGTTTCTGCGCGCTACATCATTTTCCGAATTTACAGAGGCTAGTCCAAAATTAGATAAAGAAATTATTACAAACGATTTTCAGTATTTTTCTATGAAATGTTATTTCCAAAATAAATTTTGAGCAAAGATGTTAAGATGTTAAGTTTATCGTCATAAAAATTATATTTCATGCTAATAGAAATTAGACATAAAACATTTATATTATAGTTCACTTTTATTCTATAAGTATTTAGTGATATATTAGGAACTTTAAGAAAAGTTAAAGGGAATATGTATATTTTAAATCAGAGTAATTAGTGCTATCGGAGAACAAACGCCAAATAAACTGTTCACATGCAGAACAACTTTATATTTGACTTAACTTCGGACATGCTAACGACCGCAGTTTACTTTGAGTCTTGAGTGTCGTCGTGGATAATTTGAAACTAGTTTAATTTATTTGGTTTGTAGGAACTATTTAGAGATGTTATCCTAAAAAGATTACAAATATATATAACCAGGGTTATAGTAAAGTCTGAAACAAAATATAAAAAGAAAATCCACCTGTAGCGAAGGTTACGAACAAGGAATTAATATAGAAAAGAGCATATTCCTTTTTAAAAGGCCGGCAGCACACCTGCAATGCCGTAGGTGTTGTGGGTGATCATGGGCGGCGGTAGTCACTTACCATCAGGTGAGCCGCATGCTCGTTTGCCCCCTGTGTTGTAAAAAAAAAAAAAAAAAAAAAAAAAAAAATTAATATAATATAAAAGAATAATATAATAGAATAATATAAAAAATAGCATAAGGAAAACTATAAGACACAATGTTTGTATTTTTGTTGGTTATAACATGTTCTTAATTTTAATATTTAATTTAGAACAGTTTTAAATTCAACTTGCACATTATTCCATTTTCATAATCATCTAACTTGTACCATCATGTATCTGTTGAGTTTGTAAGTAGGTTATTTTACACAAAAGCATAGTGGTCTATGTGGTAACTAAAAGGGAAGATTCGAAAGCTCGTTCCGAGGCGATGGTAGAAGAGAAACGTGTACGGAATCCGTGATTGTGCGACCCTTTGAATATTAACTAGCAGATGACCCGCTTGTAACCGGGCCGTAGATCCGTAGACCTCCCTTCTCGAAAGGTTAATGCGAACTGCCCAATGTCGAGTAGGGGTTTATTTCTCACCTACTAATCAGGATTGTTAAATGAAATGAGATTAGATAATCACTTATTAAAATAATAGAATAGTCTTAGCTAACTGCAGCAAGGAAATTAGTTATGTTAAGACTTATTTCCCAGAAAGAATGATTACCGCAATGAGCACAAAACGAAGAAAAGCTAAAGTTGTTAATTAAAAGAATAAAAAAGGCGGCTGAGAGTACGCTCATCTAGAGCACAGTAGTCATTGCAGTGGAGATAAGATTTTTAAAACGTAGAAAGGCTTTGTGATTGTCCTCGGGCCGATTCCGGTGAACAATAGGTCCGTTAACTTAACTGCCAATATCGCAGCTTTTTAAGATAGGTGCATCCTTTACAAATATACAATGTGATTAATAGTGATTTCTTCCCATTATAAAATAATTTATATTATTTGAGTAGCATGATGTTATCAGCAAAATTATCAATGTCAAATGTAAAACATTATATGTATTATATGATAACATAGTTAAATAAAAACTAGTAATAATGAACAAAAGACTAATTCTTATAATTATATTTTCATAAGTAGTTATCCCTTAATCGCGGGACCCTTCAATAGTAAAAAAAGATAATATCATACTTATCAATACAATCTCTTACATCCTGGATAAAGCTCTTCAGTATTGACAAATATAAACAATATAACCTATATGTGTTATGATGATTGTGTGTAGCGTTCAACAAAACCACACAATATAATATTGATACGTGTATGCAACGTACGTACTTTAGTTAACGATCAAACATAAAATAGCAAACCGTTAATTCTAACATGTAAAATGAGATCGTATATCTCTAAGTGAGTATTTACAGAGGTATTTACGTGCAGTAGCCGAAAACAATTGTAGCAATATTATAAATATATAAATTCAACCAATATTTCTTAATGACTCCATTATCTTTTGACATTTAGACGTATGAATATCTACACACTGATGTAAGTAGCACAGTTCTTTGTTCATATCAAAATATAAAGGACGCCTTTATTTATGTTCAGTAATAGAGAATAAAACCTTTTATAATGATGACTATGATAGATGTGGAGTTTTTCAAAAAAGGTGTAATGATGTTTTGTCAGTGTTGGCAATACGTGCGCTGTGCTTCCGGTATAGCGGTTGTTTATAGACCATGGCAACCGCTTACTATAACACTTGTTTGCTAATAAAGATTAATAAATTAATATCCTGATGTCCCTTCTCTTCATGCCCTAGAATTTAAAATGACAAATTATAAAATTTTATACTTGTGCGTCCCGTCTATCTCTTAATAAAACAAATGTGTGTTGAAATTTGAGTAAATTTTTTTTTCAGACTTATTCAATTGATTTTGGAGAGACATATGTACGTATAGGTTAAAAAAATGTGATGTTAAAAATATACTAATAATTATTATTTTGTGCTTAACTTGAAAATATAGGGTAAACATTTAACGTAACATAAAATGTTAAAATTAATATCTCTCCCCCACCTTATCTGCCAAAGCATCACCGCGAAAAACCAAACATAATAAATAAACATGTAAATTGAAAAAAGTTCGGAATTTGTTCCTCGAAATTGAATTGGACTCTTGACTCTACAAGTAATTCTTATACTCATACATCGTGAATTTATTATAAGTAATATAAAGGATAAGACATGAAAATTCATTATATAAAGTTATGTTCTAAAAATCATTTTAACAACAATATATAACATCAATTAATAATCATTAAAATTGGCTCAGAATATGTAAAGGTTACGTTCATGTAAATGTCAAACTTTTTTTTATATCGGTTATAAGTAAATAAAATCAATACAATCATGAAAGCAGTGAGAGCGATTAGTCAACGGTCATAAATAAAAATGTAATATTTATTGGTTGCGTATTACAAATACGACTTTATTACAGTTTCATTATACAATTGTGCGTGGATGATGAATTCAGTTCAATTATCGGACCGTACTATTAAGTTCAATTAAATTAACGAAA